AAGTAGCAAAAACATGAGTACGACCAACTCCTAGATAATTTAACTTGGACATTGCCATATCTGAAGAAAATTTCAAATGATCTTCGCATGAAAGAGATAAAAGCGACCTTTTAAGAAAATGATTTCAAACTCTATTTAAAATGTTCACAAGTCAAGTTATATACAATTAGATTTAAAAACGACTCAAAAAGAAACTAAGACAGATAAGCTAATATAATCTTCAAAAATATTCACTGAAATAATACTAATTACCCCCCTCTAAAGGCCAGTGTCTTAGATGGATAAGATAATATAAGGTAAACAAAAATCACGTGAGAAAAAAATGATTAATTTACCTTAAAGCGAGCTAACAATGATCAGGTCGCTCCTTCTTCTCCCTTATTTTTTATTGCTTCATCAACTCAGATGCTTTTCAAGAGGGGATGAACTGAATGAGGAGATAGACGCGGATTCCAAATGTAGCAACAATATAGATTCTCACAAAGAGACTTCTCGTGGCAGCAACAGTCTTTTATAAAGACTATTTTCTCCTGTTCATGCAAATAAAGAGAGTAAGAAGAGATAACTAATACAATTTAACTTTATACAATGTCAAGTAAATAAAAAATAGAGACAAATAAAATCATTCGACGAATACACTTTCCAAAACATTAAATGCTGAACGAGAGACACGTCTTGCAACTGACTACTTTGAACAGAACTCAAAATTGATTTAGATTATAACATCTTTCTTAAGCATACGACAAACTCAAATCTCATCATATTTAAGGTATAACTTCCTAAAGGTTAAAGTGAAAACTTAAGCATGATCCTTCAAATTTTATATATGCCATTACTTCAAACATAGAAGAAACTTATACATATAACTCCAATACACTGAGGAAAGGAAACCCTTTTATTTTCAAGCTTTATTTCTATATTAATTTTTTTCCATCTGAGCGCCTATTTATTCTTTTTTTAGGGTGTATAAAACCTCTCTGATTGAGGCATCTATCTTATTCCGTTGACGCAATTGGAAGATCAAGATTTCTTCCTGCCGCTCAATTGAGATCAAATCTGGCTTTAGCAAGAACAACTGTAATTAAATAAAAAATGGAAAGACTTCACTTCAACTCAATAAATGACGTCAACTCCGTAAGTGGTTAGGCAAAATATATCACCGAAAGGAGAGGTGATAAGGAAGCCTAGCCATTTCACCTACCTGAGTAATAAAGTGGAAACTCCCCTCATAATCGATTAAAAGGAAAGCCACATAGTCCACATCTTTCAGTACTGCATCACATTTATCGGGGTTGAATCCCATTTCTTGAGCAATCGTCTTCGCTCGTTGGTAAAACGCCTTGATGCATGTGGCTAGTTTGTTGGGGGTGTTCACCTTTCACATTCCCAAGTCGTTGGAGAAGGTGGGGTTGCGGCTGCATTGGATCTTGAATAGCCTAAAAGAGGAGAAGGTAGGGTTGCGGCTGCGTTGGATCTTGAATAGCCTAAAAGAGGAGAAGGTAGGGTTGCGGCTGCATTGGATCTTGAATAGCCTGAAAGAGGAGAAGGTAGGGTTGCAGCAGCATTGGATCTTGAATAGCCTGAAAGAGGAGAAGGTAGGGTTGCGGCTGCATTGGATCTTGAATAGCCTGAAAGAGGAGAAGGTAGGGTTGCGGCTGCATTGGATCTTGAATAGCCTGAAAGAGGAGAAGGTAGGGTTGCGGCTGCATTGGATCTTGAATAGCCTGAAAGAGGAGAAGGTAGGGTTGCGGCTGCATTGGATCTTGAATAGCCTAAAAGAGGAGAAGGTAGGGTTGCGGCTGCATTGGATCTTGAATAGCCTAAAAGAGGAGAAGATAGGGTTGCGGCTACATTGGGTCTTGAAACCCTATAGATATAAAATGGGGGGGGGGGGGGTATTTAAGGTATTTTCACGAAGTTATGTGAATTAAAGTTTTGGGCTTGAGTTAGTTGATTTGGGCTCATTTTGAGAGTATAATAATGGATTGTTGATGTGTTAAGAGATTCAATTGGACGTAAGATATGAGCTAGTTTTTTTATTGATAGTCTTTTACTTCTTTAAACTATTTTTTTGATCTTCTAATTTAATAACTAGAGTAATATATGACTAATACATAAAAATAAAGTACTAACATTTCAATTTTTTGTTAATGATATAAAAAAAAATATATATTGATGTATATCTAATTTGATAATACAGTAAAAAGTTTAAAAGATAGCTTTGTTATTATTATTTATGCAAAAAAATGTAGCGACGATAACAACAATAACACCAACAACAACAACGGCAACGACAACAACGATGACAACAATAAAATGACAACAACAACAAAAACAACACAACTACCAACAATAGAAGCAGCAGCAACAACATCACTACCATCACCAACAACAAGTGGTAAAGTGTATGTGTTGATAAATTTGCAAGGACTCAGACTTTTCAACTTTTCCAAGGTTCTTCTATGACTGCCCTCCTATGAACCATGAAACGCTCGTACAACATGCACCAACAACTCTTCCGTATTTTTCCTTTCCAACTCAACTTACCAACTTTCGAGGTGTTAAAATAACTCATTTGAAAAGAATTTTTAATTTGGCCCTATTTAATCTTAATTTCAACTCAAACTCTTTATTTATATTGGGTTAATATATATTCCCATATTAAGTATGAATTATAATCTATTTTATATGGATTTATCTATGCATATGTATCTTATTTTTTAATAACTTGAGTTGAAATTCAAATACTGGTTATAAAAATAAATAGCAATATGTTAAAAATATTGAGATTAAGCGGGTCAAATTAGATGGTCATTACCTAATTAATTTTTTAGCCCATTTGAGCTTAAAGTAAATTTGGGCAGGTCATGACCCAATCCAATTTCTAGCACTCATTTGTGTGTATCCCGCTGTTGCGGTTGCGCTATAGCGATCTGTTTCCTGCTATAACGGCCTCAACTTTTCAGCACAGATAGTCTTTGGTAAAACGGTCACAACTTTTTTGTCTGGACACCAAATGAAGCACAGTTGACGACGGTGAAAAAAAGACTCATAGACCAGACCTTTAATTTGACAGTTGATGGAACATCTTATTCATTATAGACTGAGAGATATATATGGTCTTTTGAAGTTTACCTTAGTTTAAACTTAAGCATGAAACTAAACACTTTCAACTTAACTTTGTGATAGGGGCATTGTACGGCCTTAATTCATAACTAATGCACTCCCATATTAAGGAATTGTTTCCAACATTGTGACGAATCAGATTCGTATATCTTCATCGTAGATATTTTCAGTAACGACAGAATAGGTAATTACATTAACAAAACAATATATATATATATATATATATATATAGGTCAGGAAATAGTATGTACTTAAAGGTTTGTTTTACTTCATGAATATTGAGTAGGCGTTTTGTCCAAATGGGAAATTCTATGCAATTATTTCTTACCTATTGTGAAAACAACACAAAAACTCGTTAAAAATGAAACAACACCTACAATGCTCAAAGAAAACTAGGAAAATAAGAAGTATAATTTTGCGAGATAAACCACTCACGTGTCACTGTCACACAAAATGAAAAGACAATAAAATGTATTTTTGGGGAAAAATCATATAATCGATGGATAAGGCGTAGCTTTTACAAAGAAGACCACTGATAAACTGTAGTAGTCTACTTACGATCTATTCTACAACTTATAAAGGTTACAAGGCATATGAAAAGGCTGAAAACTATAGTTTTACTGAAAGTTTTTAAAAGGGATCATAATTAAAGCTCAATTAATTTTGTGGAAGATGAAAATGATCCAACTTAGTAGAACATATTTTTGGAAGGAGGGTAAAAAAGTCAATAAACTTTTGATGTGAATAATTATATTTTAACTTTTGATTTTGTGGCTTCTTATAATATGACATTTACTATTATATAAAATTTATATAGATCTAACTACTCTACTTGATAATAAGGTACGTAGTACCTTTATTTTGTTGCGTCCTACCAAGTTTGTCTCTTGAGTCCATGTAACTTAAAGAAATTAGGCAAGAATAAAGTAATATTAAATAGTTTTAAAAAATTCACAAGTGAAAAGTTTCATTACACTTTTATTTCAAATATAAATAACCAAAAAAAAATAAAATAATGAGTAATGAATTGGTACTATAAATATAAGCTTTATTGTGAATGGTTTTTTATGTTTTTGTACATTGAAATTTTATGAAACTCTCTTGTTTGGTTAGCATGAGGGCCATGACAAAACAATGCAAACTATATATTTAAAAATTCAATGTCATTTCCACAATATTGTGTGATCCCTTTTGTCTATTTTACCTTTTAAAGAAAATAAAACAAACCTAAATTCATGTATTGAAGCTTATTCAAATTGACTTGGAGAAACAAATGAACTTTCCTTCCTTTTGTAACCACAAATGTTTCCTCAAGTGATATAACTATCAATTAAAGTATCTTTCCAATTAACTACTTTGTGATACAAGCATAAAATAAAGAGTGAAGATCAATGTGCAACACACGTTTCACGAAAATTAATTCAATATTAGAAGTGAAACGCCCCAAGTAAAATGTTGAAAAGGATGATTTTGCTGTGTTCTGTTTTTGCAAACTTGAGATGGCAAAATAGTCTGTCCTAGCAAAGCGTTCATCTTGCTAACAGTTGCGCTGTGTAATATAATGTAATATAGATTAGGCTTGTTGCAACTCTATTAGTCCATTTGATGCTTGAGTCCTTTTTCACTACATATACACAAGAATGGAAAACTTGGTGTTTGATTGCTTTCAAGGATTTTGCATCACAATTTACATGCAATCATCAACTGAATATTCAAAATAGACAGGTAGAGAAATATTCAAACAGCCAATTGGAGGGGCCACCGTTTGGCTCATTTAGTTCGAAAGATGCATTACTAAACTTGGCAAATTTAAAACTATCCTAGATTGCCAATAGGTCGCAAATTAGAAAACAGAGAAAAGATAGTCTAATTACTTAATACAAAAGACACATTTTTCACTTAGATAGTCTAATTACTTAATACAAAAGACACATTTTTCACTTAGATAGTCTAATTACTTAATACAAAAGACACATTTTTCACTTAGTTCCTTCAGCAGAGTAACTGATCACTCCTTACCCTCCTCCGCAGGAGACTCAATGTCACTATCCACTGAAGCCACTGCACACTGAGAAGTGCTTCCATTTGATGCATCCCCCTGCATATCATTGTTATCCATTGGCGGTGGAGACACAAAGTAACCATGGTCATGAGCCATTTGTTGCTTCACCAACAAAGTCTCCCCTCTCAGGGATTCACTCTCACCACCATCAAACTCACGATATTGATTCAAGTACAAAGTCAAGGGTTCAATGTAGTCATCAAAACCAACCTTGCTCATGGCCCAAAGAATGTCTTCAGGGGTGACGGTCTTGCGCTGCTCACTCTGGCAACGATCGTTAGCTTCCAATGTTGTGAAGCTTATGAACTCAGAGACACATTCTTGTATGGTCTGTTTGGAGCCATCGGATATTTTGGCATGGGAAGGAAGGATCCTGCGCATGATTCTGACCACGTTTGCTATTGGCATGAATTGGTCTTGCTCTCGAGTGATGCATTCAGTAATTGCCTGGTTGAGATGAGCAGGCATTCCCATGCTTCTCTCCATATCTTAGTTCCACACAACAAGATCAGAGTGAAATGAAAAAGAAGTGTAGAATATATACATGTATCATCAAATATTGGTCTAATTTCATCACAACTAGCTAGGCTTTTGTAGTCTAATTAAACATTATTAAATCACATTTGCTATCGACTAACTTTTCAAGTGTTGAAGCAATTACAGAACAAATGGCATGCGTATACACATGTTTCACTAATATTTAGCTGGATATGAGAGTAATACTACTGTAAGACGGCACTATGAAATGTGGACAATATTTACATAAACACCAAAAGCATATATTATTTCGACAAAAGAGTTACATACTAATTAAAGTAATATAAAACGCTTTATATATAGTTTTCAGCATCTATCTTATGTTGTCTGATCTTCAACTAACTCTGGCATTTATCGAACCATCCAAATTCGCCCCTGATCAAAAGCCTTTTTACTGTACCATCAATGTGATATAGGAATTCGACAAAATTGCATCGTAACGGACACTACACTACCTACTGTTTTCATATAATCTATATAGAACTAGCTGTTCTTAAAGTTATATCCAATGCCGCTTAATCTTTGGATAAAGAAATTCTTGTTAGATTTTAATTAACTTCTTAAAATGCCTATATGTTCTGATGATAAATTGTGTTCTGTATTTTAATTTTATGGCAAAAGCAGAGAGTAATAAAAATTAAATTTGTCTAATTTGTGTAATACAACTTGCTGGTTTTCAAACTTGCTAGCTTTAGTCGGTTACTTTCAAATAAAACCTGGTTTTCTCTTAAAAGTTCCAAAAGAAAACAAGAAACGTGTCGATCACCATTACCATGAATTGATCTATTGATCTTTGATAAATAACTAGCTCTGTAGATTTATATATGGAAAAAATTATGCATATATAGTCCCTAGATAATTAAAGTCGGGTGTATAGTAGATGAAGATACACCAAGCTAAGAAACGTACAAAAGTTGGAGCTCTTCATCTAAAGAAAATAACGAAAAATTCAGAAGAATGACTGAAGATTATAAGATCTCCTAAAATTTCACAAGTGTTGTCGGAAAGAGTGATTTAGAAAATAATGAAAAGTTCAGAAGAATGACTGAAAATTATAAGATCTCCTAAAATTTCACAAGTGTTGTCGAAAAGAGTGATCTGTATGAACTGTGCCCCTACCTTGTGAAGGTAGAGAAACTGATGCTAGGCTCGAGTAAGTAAATCAAAATTAAATATATTAAACAAAAACAAAGTTTCATGAATGTTCCATGGAGAAGGAAAATGCATTTGCAAAAGTAAAAGAGAAGCTAGGTAGCATACCAGAGGAAGGGGAACGGGCAGGGGTTGGTTGTGGGGATCTGCGATAGCTATGAAATCCTCCATTTCCTGAACCAACATGATTACCATTAGTCATCTCTCTTTCTCTCTCTCTACAAATATGTATCTCTCTCTAAATATATGAAGTAAGTGGCTCTTGGCAAGTGATATTTATAGCCGACTTTAAGAGAAAGGGGGGACACATAGCAGCAGGAAGTAGTGAACGAGGTGTTGGTATTCGCCCGGATAAATAGGCTTTCAAGATGGACAGATGAGCATTAACCAAAAACGACATTACTATATACCACTACTTCTTCCATCCCAAGTGTTACTTTAGCTCATTTGACGTCAATTAAGGAAAATAATAAATTGAAGTATAATTTATTACGTTACCTTTAATTATTTGATGTTTTTTGATGAGCAATATTAAAAAGTACTTCTTTAATACAAGAGTATACTTGGAAAAACATACTAGTTTTAGTCCTGAATTCCTACAATATTTTGGGAAAATTTATTTTGGTTAAAGTGCCACTTATTTTCGGGCAGAAGGAGTATACGTTACTTATTATTTAATTTTCAACCATTTGGCCATTACCCTTTTACGTTTCTTATTTCTCAACAATTTATAGTTCCAATCCTATTCAAACCGGCCCCATTCATTCAAATTCAAAAAAAAGTTATTTCGAGTGACACGTTATCCAGAGTATGTAGATTTACCCACGTCAGTTGTGGATAGTGATGACAAATGGGCGAATTGGTTCTAGTTTGGGAGGATTGAAGATAGATTGGATCGAGACTTGGATATCTTTGTATGAGGGGAAAAGGGTCTGATATACCCCTCAACTTTGTCATTTGGAGCTGATATATCCCTCGTTATAAAAGTGGCTCATATATGCCCTTACCGTTATACAAACGGCTCACATATACCCCTGCCGTTATAAAATGGCTCACATATACCCTTCATTTAACGGAAGTTAAAAAATTAGTTTTAAATTTATATTTATTATTTCTAATTTTTTTAAAAAAATTATTTAGGGGTATATATGATTCTTCTATCAAAGTACAAGGTATATTTTAATTTTTTTCATACATAAATTATTTTTTGACTTCTTTTGTTATAATTATTTGAATTTCTTATTCTTATTTTGTTTTTTCTTTCATTCCTTCATTTAAAGAATAAAAAATTAAACTATTTTTTTTTGTGTGTATTGTAATTTAATTTCGTATTCGAAGAAAAATTTTGGTCATCTACAATAAGTTTTACAAGAATATTAGTGAAACATAAATAAATTTGATTATCAAAATATAATTATAAATTAGTCATTGAAACAAAAAAAATTCAAAAAATATATATTTGACGAGGATTAAATTTACTCATATGAGATTATATTTTTTAGAAAAAAAATAATAAAAATTTAGATTAAAATTATTATTTTTTTCATTTCCGTTAGAGGAAAAGGGTATATGTGAGCCATTTATTTACAAGTAGGGGTATATATGAGCCACTTTCATAACAAGGGTATATCAGCTCTAAATGACAAAGTTGAAGGGTATATCGGACCCTTTTCCCTTGTATGAGCTTGGAGAATCCTTGACTCATCAATTTCCTTTTGAAGTTAAGTTCACCCTTCTTCTTTTTAAAATTACTTTATAATTGTAGGTAATTCGATCACAAGTGCTATTTGATTTCACAAATTATAAGTGAAATTAACTCACTAGTATTAATCAATGTACCAAGTTGATGTAACGAGATTTTAGTTGATTTAAGTATAGTAAGAAAGGAATAGCAACAATATACTGCAGAATCCTTCTTACCAAGAAAAACCACACATTTAAGTGATCATAAAACCCCTGAAAATGTCTGAATAGCAACTTTATAACCATTTATGAAATTTAGCAATATTGAATGCAAACTTTCATCATCCACAATGGAATATCGTACATATGAAAAACCAAATCCATCTATAAATGGAACAAAAACGAACACAACATAATAAATTTTGTATAGCAACTCCGGATCAGTTTAAATATGACATCAACACACTTAGAAAATGAAGTTGCACGTAATACGCCACTGGGAAAACAGGTTGTACATGCAGCTTAGCAGTTCCCTTTTTCCTTAAAGTTTGTGGCATTGCTTAATTTCTCGCACTGTTCAAAGATCATTCTCTAAGGTTTTGGAGAATGAGTAAAGAGGGCTCTTATTTAGTACATTTCAGTACTTGATCCCTTGAATATTTTAACCTCACTGTATCAATCTCAGAGCATCATTCACACGGTCTTTATCCATTGAAAAGTAAGAAAACAGTTCCGTGTTCTGACTCAATGTTTCATCAATCTGAAGAAAAAGTTTCTTAATAGTCGAACTACATATCCAACAGTTTGTATCATTATCAAAACAGAGGTTCAACAACAAGATGTTGAATGGCACTCCAATAGAGGAAATATATCAAGTGTTCATTATTTGGACATGTTTCCATATTAGGAATGTCAAAGGTAAACTTGGTAATTGGTCCTGTAAGAAGAGCAAAGAGGTGACAGAGACTGATATTAATTCCTCTGTTGTTTTCCAAAGTGTTTGATCAAATATGCTCAATTAGAAATATCATAATCAAGACAAGTAGCACTTGTTCATTTTATTTAGCACTTCCACCACACACAAACATACACATAGACATACACTTAAACATACACATACACTTAAACATACACATACACTTACACTTACACTTACACTTACACTTACACATACACACATATAAGTAAACAGCCAATTGAAGGGGACCCAATTGGCTAACTTAGTTCGATTCCTAAACTTTCTTTATTGCTTATAAAGCTTCAACAACAGCTTAATACCTTCAATATATTGAGAAATTGATCACTCCTTATCCTCCTCCATAGGTGACTCAACGTCAGTATCCACTGAAGCCCCTGCACACTGAGAAGTGCTTGCCCTCCCCTGCATGTCACCATTTCCCATTGGTGGTGGATACACAAAGTGGTGATGAGCCATAGGAAAATTAGAGGGAACGTTATAGGATGTGATATTAGAGCTTGAAGCTGTATCAACCATTGGACGCTTCAACAAAGACTCCCTCGTAAGGGATCCACACTCGCCTCCATCATCCTCACTATTTGGAGGAAAGTTGTAAGGCAAGGGTTCAATGTAGTCATCAAACCCAAACTTGTTAATGACCCAATCCATGTCTTCCACAGTGATTGTGTTCCGCTGCTCACGCTGGCAATGCGCGTTGGCTTCATATGTTACAAAGCATATGAACTCAGACATACAATGGTAAATGGTCCGCTTGGCGTCATCGGATATCTTGACATGGGAAGGATGGGTGCTCTGCATGATTCTGGCCACGTTTGGAATGACTTGGTCTTGCTCCTGACTAATGATTTCAACAACTTCCTGGTTGAGATGTGCAGGCAGTTCCAGGCTCATCTCCGTATCTTAATTTCACACAACAAAAAAGCACCAGAGTGAAATTAAAAGAAGTGTGGTCTATATCATCAAAATATTTGTCTAATTTCATCACATATAGCTACGCTTTTATCGTCTAATGAATCATTATTAAGTAACATTTGCTATTACCTACCCAAGTATTGAAGAAATTACAAAATGGCATATACAGAAATATATGTTTCACTAATTATTAGCTGGATATGAGAAGCATACTGTAAGACGGCACTATTAATTTTAGACATTTCTCATGTGAACACCAAAAACATATATCATATATTATTATAAGCATGAAGCTCAAAACTTAAAAGTTGAATTACCATTTTGTCCCTCTAATAAATTAAAACTTATATAATTTATATATAATATTTTGCCCTTTTACTAAATTAAGATTTAATTTATTATTTAATTAAATATAAATATTTTAATTACACAATGATATATATATATCTATTTAATTTTCATAAGTATTTAAAGTTAGGAAGAAAGTTTAAATTTATTCAGTCAATAACTTTTAATTAGAAAAACAATGATAAGATTCCTAAAGTCTTTCTATTACTCCTATTTATTCATGCATCACTTAATTACTGAAGTTGAAAGGTTTTTTCAGTTTTAAATTTTGAAGGCACTACTTAACTTACATTAATTACAATGAATATTGTAAATGAAAAGATCACTCTTTTGAACTTTCGTATGTTACTTCACTCTTTTTAATTAACTTGAATTATTTTCATCTTCCACATATTATTGAAATGTATAAATATTTAACACATAGAGAAAGAAAATAACAACAGAAATCAAGAACACTCAAAAGCACAAGAATTCATATTCTAACCCTTTTTTCGAAAATTTTCTTGGTCTTCTCTATTGCATGAAACTATATGATGACACAGTATGGTTCTAATACATTTGAGAATACAAACTGAGAAAAGTAAACATATAACGCTTCACATTTAGTTTTCATCATTTATCTTACTTTGTCTAATCTTCAACTAACTCTCGCATATATCCAAACTTGCCTCGGATCAGAAGGCTTTTTCTATTATTATAATCGTGATATAGGAATAAGATAAAATTTTCTTGTAACGGACAATTTAGGCAATTTATATGCCATAATTAAAGCCTCTAATTTATGTAATATAGCTAGCTGATTTTCAAACTTGCTAACGTTAGACGGTTTGTTTCTTCCTCTCTCTTTTTAATACTCTTTTTAGAGGAGAGACACGCGTAAAAAACGGTAGAGAGGACATACACAAGATTGCATGCATATTGCCACTTGTTTCCATTTTTTTCTTTTAAGTTCCAAAAGAAAACCAGAAATGCCGTGTCGATCACCACTACCATGAGTTGATCTTCATCTTTGATATACAAATAGCTAGCTTTGAATCTTCATCTTTGATATACAAACAGCTAGCTTTGCAAATATATGTATGGGAAAAAATGCATATATGGTCCCTAGCTAAGTACAGACGAACATAGAGCAAGCCAAGAAATCTACACGAGTGCAGCTCTCCATTTTTATGATCTTCCAAGACTCAACAGAGCTAAAGAAGAAAATGAAAAATTCAGAGGAATTAATAAAATTAACTTTCGTGAAAGAAACTGTGTGCGCTTCAGCATATACAAAGCTTCATGAATATTCAACAACAACGAGGACATGCCTAGTAATCAGTATATATAATTCCATAAATAGAATCTGAAAGTGCGATGTGTACATAGCCTTTCCCCTACTTACCTTGTGAGATTGATTTTAATAGAAACGCTCGGCTTTAGTAAGCCTATCAAATATAAAAAATCATATGAACATTCCAACCATACATATATATAGAGAGAGAGAGAAAGAAATCACTTTTAAATAGTAAAAGAGAAGAGAGGTAGCATACCAGGGGAAGGGGGATCTGCAGGAGTTGGTTGTGGAGATCTGCCATAGCTATGAAATCCTCCATTTCCTGAACCACCAAGATGATTACCATTATCCATCTTACTCTCTCTCTTTCTCTCTACAATTATCTTTCTCTCTCTTTATATAGTAGGTGTTCTTGGATAGTAATGTCCGCATATATATAAGAGAAGGGGGGATATGTGGCTAACTGGACGGAGTGAACCAGAAAAAGGTATTCGCGGAGATAAATATGATTTCACAGTTGGGAAAATGAGTATTGTCTAGAAATGACATAATTATATACTACTACTTCCTCTGTCCCAAAATAAGTGCTATTTTAGCTCATTTCTCATCCATTAAGGAATAAAATAAATTGAAGTTGTAGTTTTCTAAGTTTTCTCTCTATTTATATGATGAATTTGAAATTTGAGCACTATTTAGAAGTAGTGGCTCTTTGAGATAAGAATATATGTAGTTGAATTCTTCCAACGACACTTGTTTTGGGACAATTTTTTGTGCTAAAGTGACATAACTAACAGAATTCACATCAGAAAACTTTGATTTCACTAGAAGAGCTGTAACTACCTCATATGATAGTGAATTGGTCTGATTCTTTTTCGTGAATGTTTATGGACCTACTCGTTTAATCAAGACTCAATTTCGTGCTTATTTGCTTAGTAAAATATTATTTTTGCTCAATAAATAATTATTTCATATTCCGCAATAAAAGTTCAATCTTGACGTAGCTAAAATACACAAAATTTTACTGTTGATCAGTCCTATAATTCATGCTCAAACTTTCAGAAGTTTCGTAATAATATTCCATTTTTAAAACTAATAATCAAACTTTTAGTTAACCCAATTTGCTGAAACAATGTCAAAACATCCAAAAAGCTTAAAAGCTCCCCAGAACTCATCTGGAACCTCCCAAACACAAACCAAATATGCTATTAGTGTGAAAATGATATTTCGAACTAAATGAAATCATCAAAACACCCAAACAAGTTTACCTTAACCCAATGTTTTTTTCTCAAAATTAACCTTAACTTAAGAATTTCCAAATTTCAAATAAGGACATGAAATTCATTCAAGTATAATATATATCACCCACCGGGCTTAGTGGAATCATCAAAACTTAAAAATGACCATTCTAACCTCAAAAAATTGCTAAAGTTTGGCCTTTAACTTTTTCCGCTTCTCGTCTAATGGCTCAAAATCAAACCAAAAGCCTTGGGACCCAAACCAAAAGTACATCTAGACCAAAAAACATATTATGGAGTTAACGGAACTGTCGGAATTTTACTCCGAGCTTGCTATCACCAAAGTTGACTTTCGTCAACTCTCTTATGCTTTCAACTTTCAAAACACAAAACCCATTTCAAAACTCATCTAATACCTCAGAACCTGAAAAATAGTCCTACTAACCCGAAGTCACATACCGGAGCTGATGAAACTGACAAAATTCCATTTTGATACTCCAAATGTTGATTGTAGTCAACCATTTCAAATTTAAAACCTTCAAAACCCATTTCTTTTTTCAAAACTCCCAACTTTTCACTCTGGTTCAAAAAATGACTAATTGCAATTTTCAGGGTAAAATGGTAATTTTCTAGAAATTTTCAAATATGACGTTTAGGGTCATTACACTTGCAACACAATACAAGTGGAAAATCTTCCACAGGTGAAGAAGACAGGGTATATTAGCTTAAAAAAGTTTTCTATGGTCTTAAACAAGCTCCAAAAGCTTAGTACAGTAGGCTGTATTCATTTGACATAATACATAAATATAACCTCTAACTTGACTTCAGCGGACAACTATGCTTAGACAGCCACATAGGACTCAAGGTTTCTGCGAAAGTCTAAATGAGCCTACTATGTTCTTCAAAGCCCAAATTTGATGGGATGTGGATTGTGATATCAGTTTATGTTGATTATCTGATGATAACTCTTGCGGTTCAAGAAGTTAAAAGATTTTGAGATATCTGATCCAGAAGCGAAGAATTTTCTCCTCGGTATGGAGATTTCTCAATTTTGTGAAGGATTTTTCTTGTCCCAAAAGATGTATGCCTCAAATCTGCTTAAAAGAATCAAGCTTGGCAAGTGCGAATCTTTTGCAACACCAATTCTTGTGAATGAAAAATTGATGAAGGATGACGGTGAAGAGCGGAAGATCCAATAGTTTATTGAATCTTATTGGAAACCTATTGTATCTGACAACTTCTAGGATAGACAATGTTTGATGTCAGATTGTTATCGTAATATATGCAAAGTCCAAGCAATAAGCATTTTGGAGCCGCTAAAAGGGTGTTAAGGTACATCAGAGGGAAAATTGAAAATAGAATTAGGTATAGAAGTGTGGAGAATGAAAATCTCTTTGGCTACTTAGATAGTTATTGGGGTGGATGTTTGGATGATTACAAAAGCACATTCCCTTACTTTTTTTTGCTCGGTTCATCATTTTTTCTTAGAGTACAAAGAAGCAAGATATTGTAGCTCAATATACAACAAAAATTGAATATGCTACAAATCTAGGAATTTGGTTGAGAAAGATCTCGTCTGAAAAATAGAAGGCAGTTTGTATTGGTTACCAAACAGAGGTTTAACAAGAAGATGTTGAATGGCACTCCTATAGAGGAAATATATCAAGTGTTAGTTATTTGGACATTTTTCTAGATTATGAATAACAAGAGTAAACTTGGTAATTGGTCCTGTAAGAAGAGCAAAGAGATGGCAGAGACTGGTACCAATTCCTCTGTTGTTTTCTGAAAGTGTTTGATCAAATATGCTCAATTAGAAATATCATAATCGAGACAAGTAGCACTTGTTCATTTTATTTGGCACTTCCACAACACACAAACATACACACAGACATACACATACTCGTACACTTACACATACACTTACACACATAAGTAAACAGTCAATTGAGAGGGCCCCAATTGGCTAGCTTAGTTCGAAACATACATTCCTAAACTTCGCAAATTAAAAACTATTCCTAAACTTTATTTATTGCTTATAAAGCTTCAACAACAGCTTAATACATTCAATATATTGAGAAATTGATCACTCCTTATCCTCCTCCATAGGAGACTCAACGTCAGTATCCACTGAAGCCCCTGCACACTGAGAAGTGCTTGCCTCCCCCTGCATATCACCATTTCCCATTGGTGGTGGATACACAAAGTGGTGATGAGCCATAGGAAAATTAGGGGGAACGTTATAGGGTGTGATATTGGAGCTTGAAGCTGTATCAACCATTGGACGCTTCAACAAAGACTCCCTCATAAGGGATCCACACGCGCCTCCATCATCCTCACTGTTTGGAGGAAAGTAGTAAGGCAAGGGTTCAATGTAGTCATCAAACCCAAACTTGTTAATGACCCAATCCACGTCTTCCACAGTGATTGTGTTCCGCTGCTCACGCTGGCAATGCGCGTTGGCTTCGTATGTTACAAAGCATATGAACTCAGACATACAATGGTACATGGTCCGCTTGGCGTCATCGGATATCTTGACATGGGAAGGATGGGTGCTCTGCATGATTCTGGCCACGTTTGGAATGACTTGGTCTTGCTCCTGACTGATGATTTCAACAACTTCCTGGTTGAGATGTGCAGGCAGTTCCAGGCTCATCTCCGTATCTTAATTTCACACAACAAAAAGGCACCAGAGTGAAATTAAAAGAAGTGTGGTCTATATCATCAAAATATTTGTCTAATTTCATCACATCTAGCTACGCTTTTATCGTCTAATGAATCATTATTAAGTAACATTTGCTATTACCTACCCAAGTATTGAAGAAATTACAAAATGGCATATACAGAAATATATGTTTCACTAATTATTAGCTGGATATGAGAATCGTACTGTAAGACGGCACTATTACTTTTAGACATTTTTCATGTGAACACCAAAAACATGTATTATATAATCAGTGAGAATACAAACTGAGAAAAGTAAACATATAACGCTTCACATTTAGTTTTCATCGTTTATCTTACTTTGTCTAATCTTCAACTAACTCTCGCATATATCCAAACTTGCCTCGGATCAGAAGGATTTTTCTATTATTATAATCGTGATATAGGAATAAGATAAAATTTTCTTGTAACGGACAATTTAGGCAATTTATATGCCATAATTAAAGCCCCTAATTTATGTAATATAGCTAGCTGATTTTCAAACTTGCTAACGTTAGACGGTTTATTTCTTCCTCTCTCTTTTTAATACTCTTTTTAGAGGAGAGACACGCGTAAAAAACGGTAGAGAGGACATACACAAGATTGCATGCATATCGCCACTTGTTTCCATTTTTTTCTTTAAGTTCCAAAAGAAAACCAGAAATGCCGTGTCGATCACCACTACCATGAGTTGATCTTCATCTTTGATATACAAACAGCTAGCTTTGCAAATATATGTATGGGAAAAAATGCATATATGGTCCCTAGCTAATTACAGACGAACATGGAGCAAGCCAAGAAATCTACACGAGTGCAACTCTCCATTTTTATTATCTTCCAAGACTCAACAGAGCTAAAGAAGAAAATGAAAAATTCAGAGGAATTAATAAAATTAACTTTCGTGAAAAAAACTGTGCGCGCTTCAGCATATACAAAGCTTCATGAATATTCAACAACAACGAGGACATGCCCAGTAATCAGTATATATAATTTCATAAATAGAATCTGAAAGTGCGATGTGTATATAGCCTTTCCCCTACTTACCTTGTGAGATTGATTTTAATAGAAACGTTCGGCTTTAGTAAGCATATCAAATATAAAAAATCATATGAACATTCCAACCATACATATATATATAGAGAGAGAAAGAAATCACTTGTAAATAGTAAAAGAGAAGATAGGTAGCATACCAGGGGAAGGGGGATCTGCAGGGGTTGGTTGTGGAGATCTGCCATAGCTATGAAATCCTCCATTTCCTGAACCACCAACATGATTACCATTATCCATCTTACTCTCTCTCTCTATCTCTCTCTACAATTATCTTTCTCTCTCTTTGTATAGTAGGTGGTTCTTGGATAGTGATGTCCCCATATATATAGCAACAAAATATAAGAGAAGAGGGGATATGTGGCTAACAGGACGGAGTGAACCAGAAAAAGATATTCGCTGAGATAAATATGATTTCACAGTTGGGAAAATGAGTATTGTCTAGAAACGACATAATTATATACAACTACTTCCTCTGTTCCAAAATAAGTGCTATTTTCGCTCATCCATTAAGGAAAAAAATAAATTGAAGTTGTAGTTTTCTAAGTTTTCTCTATATTTATTTGATGTTTTTGAAAATTGAGCACTATTTAGAAGTAGTAGCTCTTTGATATAAGAATATATATAGTTGAA